GTGTGTGTGTTCCTCACATGTTTCTGCAACAGTTCATCTGATCGACTTTAAACTCCACTGCTAGTAACAAGACTGCATTATGGAACTGTAGGTCATTCTGGGGGTTCTTGTTGATGTTAGACTTAAGGTCACAGTGATCATTAGGGATGGTCATAGCCATTAAATTATACAATGAAAATGTAATTGTTTACTTTTTCCTCTGTTTTTTCTGGTTTGTGTGTTTGCAGCACCTCTTTTAGACCACTTTTACCAAGTGACAGCCAGAGACGTCTAGGAAATACTCGCTAACTGGTTGGGAAATACACATTTTCCACTACTTAATTAATAAAGATGCTGAAAAGCATGTATGTGTGCACAGGTCTGCCGTATTATAGACAGCATATAAGTCATGTGAAAGCATGGGCAGGTAGGTGATCTTCCAAAAACAGTCAGTTAGCAGTAAAAACTGAGCAGCAATTTTGCTTGCTGCACTGGAATGATGTAAAATGTTCAGCTAACATAAACCACTCGTCTCTACTTTTCATTGGAACAATGCAGCAGTGTTGTTAAGGGGGCATGTTTTTCTATGGAGGTTGAGTGCTCAGTGAGTTATAGAAACAGACTGGTGTGCTACAACTGCTGGAACTGGATTTATGGGGCGACCATGGCACAGGGGGTTGGGATGCTCATCTGTAACCGGTTCGATCCCCCTGCTCTCTCTGTCCAGGTCGTTGTGTCCTTGGGCAAGACACTTTACCCTACTACCTACTGGTGTTGGCCAGAGGGGCCGATTGGGCGATATGGCAGCCTCGCTTCTGTCAGTCTGCCCCAGGGCAGCTGTGGCTACAACCGTAGCTTGCCTCCACCAGTGTGTGAATGTGAGAGTGAATGAATAGTGGAATTGTGCCTAGAAAAGCGCTATATAAATGCAATCCATTATGATATGGCACATTAACAGTGTGGGTGCAACAAATTCCTGCTCCCATGAGGCCACTGGAGCTAAATGCACCCAATAAAGACAATGACAGCAATTCCACCAAATGACAGAAGCTGAGTCAACATGCAGTGGTGGTTAAATGCTTGTGAAATGATCATCGTGCGATTTGAAGTTGAGCAAATGGGGGAACAAAACTGTGTCTGTGACTTGAGGTCACAAATACATAGTGGGGCCTAGTCAAAAATGCACATTTTCTTATCTACCTCTGCTGATGCTAAAATCCAGATGAAAGCAACACTGCACTTGGTTCGTTGTTGCAAAGCATCAGACTAAAGCTGCTAGCGAGAAACATAAAACACATTGTAAGAGCTGAGATGCTTGGTTGTGCCCAGAGCGGCTGGTGTGTTGGCGGGGGTAAATGGAGAATGATGGTCAGCACAGAAATAATCTCCATGATTCTCCTCCTGATTGCCTCACGTCTGAATTCCCTGTGCCATGTCTTTTCCTGATCCACTAATCGATACCTACACACCCCCCCACCCCCAAAGTCTTCCCACTAGCTGACAGCAGCCATGCCTCTTCCAGCCCATTACATCCTGTAATTGTTTCTTTATTTTCCTCCCGCCGTACTGGCAGTGTTACCACAGTGTGGCCTTATGTCACCCTCTGGACCCACAGAGAGCATAAGCCCGGATCAATTGGCTTCCCCACAAAAGTCCCAACATTCTTTTATGGCTAACACGTTATTCACAAGTCACATGTCACGGTAACTCTACCTTTTGCCACACAAAGCACATATGTAAAGGTCAGCTGTCAGAAGGAGGGCGAGAGTCAACAAACCCTGGCATCTAATGTTACGAGACATGACTTTAACATCCTTTTATTAGACTGACTGCGGGTATTGTCCCAAATTATAAACCAAGGGGAAATTTTACTATCAAACAATCCTGATGTTAACAGTGAGTTTAATTTACTGCTCAATATACTCCAATGAAGTTGCATGCATGCTAAAACCACACCGTATAACCATACTTCTATGTTTAAGCTGATAGTGTAATGCAGTTCATGCTGCGTTCCGTTCTTTTGACATTTTTATAGTTTTACCGCTCTAAGGACTTCAGACTATAAGATAGAATGCAAATGTTGAGGCAAATGAGAACAATCTACACACCAGAAAAGCTGAAAGCAGGTGTTTTTATTTATTTTTTTTCTCTATTTTGTTTCTGTCCACCTGATGAATGAAGTTTGACTGCCTGTGAGCGCTGGATGTTGGGAGACTCTTGCTCCTTCAGTTCAGGTTACTGCTACACAGGTTACTCAGGTTACTTGCTGGAATTAGTTCCAGTGCAAGTGAAAGAGTTGCGATCTGGCGGAGAGGTGGTTGTTAAAAGGGGCTTGCAACAAAACAATTATTGTCTGGGTATGGTGGTAGTGGAAGGAGAGGTGTGATTTTTGGTGAACTGATGAACTGTGCTCTGTATCAGCAAGCAGGCAAGAATATTCCCTGTTTTTTTTACCCTGTCCCTGAAAACACCTGCTTACATAGACTGTTAGAAAGGCTCTGCAGAGATAACTCGAACAACGTAGTTGGTAAAACTGGTCACTACAAGCAATACCTGTGTATCAACCAATTCACTGTTAATTTAAAACCGTCTTTTTCTTTCAGCTTTAAGGTTGAAAGCAAATTAGGCTTACAGATTGTTGAGACTTTATATAAAAAACAGACGTAGCCATTGTAATGTTGCCTGCTGGTTCTTGATAGCTGCTGCCATTGTACTGTTTTTTTCAGCGTGAGAAGTGACCATATCCAGATAAACTACATGAGTACAACAGATACCTGTTTCTATGTTCACAAATAACATAGCGCAGAAATGCTTTGAGTGCATTCTTCTAAGACGGTTATTACTGCAATGAACTACACAGAAAGACTAATTGTTTTTGAAATCCTCCTGAAAGGGGCAGCATGGTGACCCTTAGCACTGTTGCCTCACAACAACAAGGTCCTGAGATCAATTCCACCATCAGGCTGTGGTCTTTCTGTGTGGAATTTGCATGTTCTCTTTACATGGGTTCTCTCCGGGTGCTCCAGCTTCCTCCCACATTCCAAATACATGCAGTTAGTGGGGACAGGTTAATTGGAAACTCTAAATTGCCCATAGGTGTGAATGTGAGTGACTGTGACTGTCTCTATGTGTTAGCCCTGCGACAGACTGGCGACCTCTCCAGGGCATACCTCGCCTCTAACCCTTGCAACTCGAAAAACATGAGACAGAGCAGGAATATGCCAATAATAATGCAAACCCTCAATGCATTTTAAATGGTTATGCCATTAAAAAACATTAACTCATAATAGCTGTTTAAAAGTGCTAAAGCAGCAATAGAGGCCAAAACCCATTTTTGTATTAGGTCTTAACCCTTTATTTACCTTAGTTATGCCCATTTTGCTATAGAGGGAAAATCAAACGCTTCCTGAAAGGACTGGAGTGCTTTCCTTTTATAGTCAAAATTACAAAATAAGTCTATTTACCAAGAATGTATCTTGGTAAATAAAGCATTAATTATATATTTTTTTATCCAGCTGTAAAGTTATGCATTTTAACACTGGAGTATATCAGTAATGACTCGCTCACAGCCTCAAGTGGCCTGCAATTTTTGTTATTTCTGCATTTGCTTCATTCTGGGATACGCAGGCTGTTGTGCGGTTGAGATTTATGCATTGGTTGTATTAGCTCGTTAAAAAGCAGATGGCTTCTGTGAGGGATGAACCAGAACTCAAGGAACAGGAATTTCCTCCTGTCACCTCAGCACTGAAGACATTTTTTCACCAGGTGTCTACACGCATCTGTTGGAAGTGAAGTTGCGTGGATAAACGAATTATATTTAACCATGTAAACAACAGAGCAGTATGGTGGGCACACTGTTTGTGTAATTCCTTTATCCTATATACTGATTACAGCTGCAGTGTGGTTCTAATTGGCAGTGTGTCTGAAGTGGAACACACTGTGTTTTTGCTTATTGTATGCTTTTATCTTTGTTAAACAGGTGTGTGGAACCATGAATCTCTTCCAGCATATCTAGCAGAAAATAAATATAGGCATTTATTTCCATCTGCAAGTGTCTTTCATGCTCCATAGATATGAGCTGCTCTGGCAAAAAATTGCCCCTGTTCAGTGGAAACAGCAGAGTGGTGAAATGCATGTGAGATGGATCATCTCAGACAAGCATGATGGAGCCAGTATCTGCTTGGCCATTACTGCTGTAGCTTACGAGAAGTGAGAAAGGTGATCAATGGGTGGAAACTGGTCCTATTCTCCTACTAATTCACGCAAAAGAATGGGCCACTGGTATTTAGGGCACTCTGATTTCAGTCCCCAATGCTTGAGGTCATCAGTAGATAGACTACATAATGTGTGTTTTCTTTGGTTTATCTGTTAGGTCAACACATCTCTGCTTCACTATCATTCATAATCTACTGTAGCAGGGTTTGCACTGCCTTTTATTGCTGATAAAATTAAATAACAAGAAGCACTCAGAGCCAACCTCTGCCAAGGCAGCTCACTTTCTGGACACTGTTTACTTTTAATGGAATAATGCTGTAATTTTTTATATATTCATTCTGTTTTTTTGTCATGTTTAAACATACTTCAAGAAATGATCTGAATAGATCTGAAACTGCAACTGCAAACTGAATACGTAGGAACATGTGGCACCCTACAGTACTACTCTAATACTCTTTAGAATGACCCATTCAGCTAGCTCCTGATAGCATCACCTTCAACCACCAACAGCCAGATGCATCTTATACAAACTCCTGGAAGTTTCTGTTGTGATTTGGCTACCCTTTTAATACCTGGTTATCAAATATTAATGGTGTCATCAATGAAGTGTACTACACAAACAAGGAGATTATCTACTAATTGGAAAATTGTCTCTCAAAGGCCTGCTACATTTTGTAGACTGCAACTGTTTTAAGCAAAATACGATTAATAGGAAGTGGAATGGCTCTCTGCATGTTGCCTATGGCCCAGGTGACATTGCAATGCGCTGCACTGTGCTTGAAGGACATTCTCCCTGCAGCTCTCACCTCCCATTTGCTGTCCTGGGTTCTCCTCTTGAGCTGGATGTTCCAGTTCTCGGCGTCCACCTCTGCACAGTGGGCGATGGTCATGGCCACTGGGCAGAAGAGATCCAGGCCAGGAGGTCCGTATGTTACTTCTGGGCCCAGGAGGATTTCACAGCTGTCCAGTGTTTGGACACTAAAAACACACAGAGAGTAAATGCAAATCTTATTAGGTGATACGAGGAAATAAGTTACAGTACTGCAGACAACAGACACTGCCTGTGTTCACAGGTGGAGACACGTCAGCAGAATGGATGCCTCGGCTCTCGTATAATTGTACCTTTTGATGCCTGGACTCACTGTGCGTCATAAATGCATTTACTGCAGCTATGAGCTGCTTGCACAGCTGTCTTTGAAGCAATCTGTGCAACAAAATGCCTTTTTGCAAGACTGAAAAACAGCTGGTAGCAAGGTGAAATGCTCCATTCACTTCTTTACCTATATTTTTTGAAGCTCCATATTTATGATGGGGCAGCTTCACTGCTATCCACTGCTTTCCATTATATTTGAAAGCATTGTTAAGACTTCTTGCTGTGCTCTTTATGACTGTCCATATTTAACACATTCTATTTAGTAGAGCCATCATATGTGCATAACATCTCTCTTTGCACTTGCGCTTCTGCTGCTGCAAGCGAACCAACAAATTAATGAGCTCATGAAAAGAGGTGGACTGCCAACAAAACATGCCTTCAGGCAGGTACTTCCAAGTTTGAATGGCCATGAGTGAAAATGCTGAACCCTTGCTCCCCAAGTTCAAGTTATTGCCACACAGCCAGGCTGCTGGAATTAGTTCAAGCACAGGTGAAAAACTCTTGCCGGCGACTTGGAGTTCGCTCATTAAAAGCAGCTTACAACAAACAGGTCCTGCCAGTGGACGGTGGCGGCAGCAGTGACTCTGGTTGAGCTTCTGAGAAAGAGGGCAGGCAGATCATGACACAGGAGAGGAACACCTCAACAAAGCTCTTTAATCAGTCATCAGGTCAGAGATATGAGAGGCTTGGTTTGTTAGGACTTCTTCCTTTGAATGAGGCATACACTAAAGCAGCAGCTTTAGTGTATGAGACACCTCTACAGTGCAGTGGAATGCCTAATGTTGTGTTAGTGCCATTAATTTACAACGACTTGTGTCTTAGATTTGTATTTTTCACCATCATTTTCTGATATCACGCTTGTAATACGTCGCAGTTTGACATTTCTTCCACTATAACGAATTACAGTGAAGGAAGGAAGACATTCACTAGCGACTACAGCTAGAAATCCACAACACAGCAACAGATTGACTCAGCAGTTCATGATTCAAGAAATTGACAGTTTATTTACACAACTGGCATCTATTTTTGTACTAAAGTAGAGGGTTTCCTTTGTTTGTACCAGTACTTTGTAGATAACTTGATTGGCTTTTTTCTATCTAGCTTTATATAAAACTTTCACCTAAATAGACTAGAAAATCTATATCAAAAGATTAGATTTTAATTTAAAAGGTGACATGAACTATCCCTGTTTAACACTAGCCACACCCCTAAGTACTTCACCAGCACCCTGATGAATACATTAAAACAACAAAAAGAATGCACTACTAACTACTAGGCATCAGGCTGGTAATGTGTGTGTCACAAACAGGAGAAGTGTGCAAATCCAAAGATTTGAACAGCAGTCAGAAAAAAATCTGGTCAGAAAACCCAGTGCAAACCCCTCAAAATAAAGCTAAGATTAGGGATATTTAGGGGCACCTCACTATGTATATTAGTAAGTAAGTAAAATTTATTTATATAGTGCTTTTCGCAGATAAAAATCACACAGTGCTTTACAACAAAGAAAAAGAAAAATGAAAAGAATGAAATACAACAAATAACAACGTAAAACAGTAAAATACAACATAAAAACAACAAATTAATTAAAAGCTTACCTATATAAAAATGTCTTCAGCTGCTTTTTAAAAGAATCAATGGAGTCTGTACAGCATAAAACCAGTGGGAGAGAATTCCACAACCTTGGTGCCACTGCCTGAAAGGCACGATCACCACGAGTTTTAAATCGAGTGCGTGGGGCCACCACCAGTCTCTGACATGATGACCTTTGAGCTCGGGAAGAGGAATGCCGTTTCAGCAGGTCAGAGATGTACTGGGGAGCTTGACCATGTAGGGCCCTAAAGGTTAAAACTTAAATTTTAAAGTTAAACCTAAAATTTACAGGCAACCACTGAAGGAAGGCCAAAACTGGAGTGATATGAGATCCTCTCCTGTTAAGAGTCGTGCTGCAGGATTCTGCACAGTCTGAAGACGATTTAAAGCTGATTTGTTAAAACAAGTAAAAAGACCATTACAGAAGTCGCAATGTGAAGAAATAAAAGCATGAATAATCATCTCAAGTTCAGGCTTTGACACCATTAGTCTGAGTTTTGAAATATTTCTTAAATGATAAAAACAATTCTGGGCCAGCCGTTTGGAATGTCACTCAAGCAACATCGAGCTGTCAAATATGACGCGAGGTTTTTAAATAAGGGTCTAAGAAGCTGATATGCTGCCCTATTTCTGGAATCATATGGTCAGGAGCAATAATTAAAGTTTCTGTGTTATCAGATCATATTATACATTATATAATATAATATATACCTATTATACATTTCTAACAATATTTCTAACAATTGTATAATATTAAGAATTATTTTTATAGCATTAAAATAAATGACACAGTGAACAAAAAAATCAATCTGAAACTCCCCTTTCCCCCCCCAACTGGTCACGGCAGATGGCCCCGCCCCTCCCTGAGCGTGGTTCTGCCGGAGGTTTCTTCCTGTTAAAAGGAAGTTTTTCATTTCCACTGTCACCAATATGCTTGCTCATAGGGGGTCGTATGGCTGTTGGGGTTTTCTCAGTTTTTTGTGTTGTAGGGTTACAACACAAAAAAATATCAAGTTAGGAAAAAAGATCTGATAGATAACCTCAAGCAAGCCCATACAAACACTAAGCAATAATAATCAATAAATCATTCCTAAAGATGAAATCTATTCACAGGTAATGTTAGCTCTTAATTCAGATTTTTTGGACCATCAAATTATTACGCAACCATTCGTATGCCTTCTTAAAGTGCGTTAAGTGATTCAGACAGCATCAACTTTTTCAACTTTAACCTTGATAAATGTCACTTAAACTTAAGCAAAACCAACATACACATGTACATGCACACTATTTCTAAACAGTCAATTTTATGATTAGGTCTATATTTCACTATCAATCATTCGCTCTACATTTTTTTAAAATCAGCCAATCACACCTATTGAAAGGATTAGCCCAGCAAAATGTCTCAACATCGCCTCACAAAGCTAAAACTTTGAGTCTGCTACGTGCTCACAGCTGTTCTGACACTTTTCCTAAATCACACTGAAACTCCTTTTTTTCTCAGAATGTTTGTGGATATGAGCCTTGCAGTGGAGTGCCGGGGGAACAAGATGCAAGCACATTTTGTTAAGCTCTGCTTTGACCGCTGCTTTTTTTCCACAGGGTCATAAACATGTTTGACAGCGAGGCTTGGTGCTTTTATGCCTGTTTGTCTGATGACCCCCTTTCAGTGTGCTGCTCCCAGAAAGCAGAGTTCATACTGAGATTAAAAGTTGGCGCCTGGCATTGAGTGACTGGTTCCTCTTTGTGTTCTGTATGGTTTGATCTTATTTAATATTTCTTTTAGCATTCATCCGGCAACCTGCTGAGACTTCCTGTCAAGAATAATGTTTATGTGCTACATAATTATTTGCTGAATTAAGCAATAGCGGCAGAACTTTCGCAAAGTTCACGGTCCTTTCCTTCTAAGCATTGCTGTGAGAAATTAGCTGTCCATAAAAGTGATATCAAACACAAACACTGCTACACTTCCGATATGACGAGCTGTCAGATTTGGTTGGATGAGTGTGTAAACAAGCTGGCAAGGTCAGCTTCAACAAATATATTTGGAGAAAACTTGTGTGCACCCACTTAAAGCAACCACAGTACCTGAAGCTCCCTTTTGATAAATAACATATATTAGTTTTATATTACAGGATTTAGTCCAAACTTTTACTTTTGCACCTTAATAAAGACTGATTTGAATGTGACATTCATGTATTGTACACACACAGGAGTGAAAATCTTTGTCCTGCAGAAATAACTTTTGTATTTATTCTGATTCCACTTCCACTGAAAATACGACTGAACTTTGTTAGTCTTACAACATTTGCATAATTCTGATACTTTTTTCCAATGCAGATTTTGCATTTTAAGATTTAAACAGGCAGATTGATGCCAATGATTTTTGAGCTATGAGTCTTTTTGTATAATCATCTGAGCCAGTGGTTCACAAACCTGTAATCTAACATATGCGAGGCGCAGATGCTTCTGTTTTAATTGTGTTATCTTTAATTTTTTAGATACTGACAGCTGAAGACAGACTGGAAGGTAGAGACAGGGAAGGAGCAACAAACAGCAAAAACTTACTGTAAAGGTGCTGGTATGGTAATACATACGCACAGTTTCAGAAATTAATACCTTATATTGTTGGATCGTTTCATTAATATTGCAGCTGGAGATGATTGAAAGATTGAATTTAATTACTTACTACTGGGAAGCATAAATCTACAATACACTTGTAGATTTAGATTTTATTATCTGCAAAAGAAGAACTGACTATAGCTTTAAACTAAAGGTCTAATATTTGCATCCAAAATATTGTGGAGCAGAAGTATAAAGTTGTATGACATAGATACACACTTGTCAAAAAACACATTCTCATGATCTCAAAGGAAAAAAACAATATATCTGTCTATACTGGGTAATATGCTACGGATGAAAGGATGCCTCATCGCTTCATGGGAAGGAAAATGATCAACCCACAGAGGACTGACTTCAAAGACACACAAAAATCAAAGACAAAAAAAAAGTCAAAGGTATCTATTCCTTTGTCCTCCAGGAACTGTTTGCTTACTCTCACCATATGAGGCTGGACAGTCATGCACCAGGAGGAAGCCAGGACCCACTGCACCAGTGTTGGGTCTGACAGTGGGTCCAAGGATCTCATCCCTAAACTTAATGGCATTCAGGGTGCCATTGCCTAGCCTGTAGAGGTCTGTGTGTCCCTTCTTGGATATGGCTCTCTAGGCCATCACTT